TATATATATATATATATATATAATATATCATATATCAAGTACAATACAAACCAACGGGTTTGGTGCAGAGAGAAAAAATGATATACACATTTTGTTATCATGTGTTACAATCTGAGGACGCTACACACATGCACAATAAAATCTTATGAATAATGGGAGGGAGTTCTGTACTTACTGGTCGTAGGCCAATCATATAGTACGCAATCAGCCCCAGCACCAACGGAGGTACCACTCTCAGCGGTATGAAGTCGAACAGCAGTCGCTGTGTGAATTCAGAATTATAGATGAATATTCCGTATAATGACAACACAAATGAGTTATGCATGATAATACAAACATATTGTTTATAAAGACGTCACAAAAGGGTTCGACATGAACAGTGTTCAACAGAATTCCACATACACAGGAGAAACCCTGAACTAAGGTACCGAACTGCCGCTAGGCTCATCTGTGCGTAGTAGGCGCTCGGGCTGTGGAAGCCATTGCGGATGTCATGTCATATACACACCTACGTAAACTCTAAACCCTAAAACACAACAGAAACCCTAAACTAAGATACAGCACTTCCCCTGGGCTCACCTGTGCGTAGAAGGCGCTCTGGCGGTAGAAGCCATTGCGTGTCTCGTGCACACCCACCAGACGCTCGCGATAGAACAGATCCAGCGACGACAGGGAACCAAAGGCCAGAAACGCACACATCAGCAGCAGCGATCCCATTCTATTTATAAACTTGTTGATGATATTGTTCCGAACTTCGGCCCGGTGCGGGTCCAGGGCGTTCTCGGCGGTAGGCACGCGTGGGTAGGCGGACCGGTCCCCTGCACCGGCCATTCTGTCCCAGTCCACATCAAAATAGGCCACCGGCGCTCCACCGTACACCTCCCCATTGGCCGTTGTTTTACCCGGGTGCGCGTGTATGTCATACCTATCGCCGGTGTGGAAGTAGATAGACCCCAGCAACACGCCCACGCCCACCGCCACAGCCAAGTGCCCGAACAGCAGCTGCGGATCACGCAGTGTGTTGGTGATGGTGCGACGAGACAGCACAAAGAACTGCGTAGCCCACGACGCGTTGGTGCTGTGTGTGTACGCCTGTGTGTCTACGTGTGGGTGTGGGTGTGGGTGTGGGTGTGTGGTGGGGTTGGTTGGTTCGGGTGTATCGTCTGTGGCTGTGTGCGTGTGTGCGTGTTCTGCGGTTGATAAGCTGGGCTGGTTTGTGTCTAGTTCGGTAGACGTTTCACTGTCGCCGCCTGTGTGGCCGCTGTGGGATAGGCGGAGGTTGGGAAAACGTTAGAAATAAACGGACTGCGTAAGCAGGACGTTGAGAAAATGATTAGGAATCGTAGTACATACAACACTCACCGCTATGCTACCGTGAAGCAGGCTTAAAGCCTATAGTATTAGTTATGTAGAGTAGATATATATATAACGAAGGCATATACTTTATACGCAAATAAGTTATACGCATGGCAAATAAGTGATACGCAAATACGTTTTACAAAAATAAGTCAATACGTATCTTAAGCGTATAGACTATACGTAGTACTAATAGTACAAGTTGGACGCATATGAGTGATACGCAAATAAACTATACGTATATAAGTTAAACGCATATAAATACTGTCGTTCTGCCGCTGCACAGAGTGAGGAGTTCTCTTTGCGTTAAAGTTCTATTCATATCGTTGTCACGCCACAGATACACTGCACACACGCCAGTTCAACCTGACGTTGATAGCCAACCAACTATATACTCGCATGTCTTCATATATATACATACATACATACATATATATATATATACTCTTAACATGTGTGTGGTCTACGAGTAGAGGTGAGTCATACATGATCACTCAGGTGTGTAAGGGGTTAGTTTTGGGGTGAAATACCAGTGCTGGGTGCCTAGTGATATTGGGTTTATTCATACGAGTGATTCGGTATGTGTATGCTGATAGAACAAGGTTATTAACTGTAAAGTAGCGTAATGTGAAAAGTAGTGTAAAATATAGATGATGGGTGACGGACTACAGCGGAGGCCGGGCACCCGGGATACAAAGAGATGTTGTGTCAATAGCCAGAGGGGACTGACTGTAGGCAATATCTAGCTAAGACTATATGAGTGAAGGTAACGAGGGGATCAGTGTTCATAATCTCCTAAGCTATTGGATTACTTTAATAATTTAAAATATAACGCTATTTCACTCTAAACCGTTCGTGAACTTAACAGGGAACTCACGATACATACATACAATATACATATATATATATATATATATATATATTATATACACACACACACGTATATACATA